GAAAAAATCCACGATACCATAGAAGTTGTTTTACTATTATGGAACCTCGACGTTGAAATCTATTACCAAAGAAACAAGCAATATCTAAAATTGAAATTGAGTTAGCTAAAAGGGTGAAAGATTTTTCCTTCAAGGAAGGTCATCGGCATATTTTACTACACCATAGGTCAACTCTTCATAATCATTCAAAATATCATCAGATTTGAAAGCTTTTCTACAAAATAATTGAAGAGCTTTATTTGCATTCAACAATTGAACATTGTAAACTTCATTAACTCCATAATTTCTTAAGATATGACTATCTCTAGAGATTATGAGGATTCTACTCCCTACACCTAGATATTTAGGATGCAAAACCATTTTTTCTAATTGTTCATCTTGATCAACATTATCTAGAATAATAAGCACCTTTAAGTGGCGTAACCTAGTTCTTACCAACATGGTTCCTAGGTAAAGATTGTTTATCTCAACATCATCTTGATTTAGCACTTGACAAAGAAGTCGTTTTTGTGCAACCATGGGTCCAAACTCCCCATAAATTTTTCTTACATCATCAATGAAACAACAAGCATCATATTGATGAGTGATTTTATCAAATAAAGCAGTAGTGAGTGTTATCTTTCCTATTCCACCTATTCCACTTATTCCTATTACTCGAACAACTTCATTTGCATCTGGATCTACAAGTTCCTCTAGTTGTTTTATAAGAGAGTGCATATCAACTAAATCATCTTCAAAATTAAAATTTTAATTATGACCTAATAAGTTGATTACCTCTTCAACAATTTTTTCTATTTCTTCATGCTGTAGCCTGGAAACCAAAGTGGAGCAAAAATATTGATTCACTAAGGTTGAGACTTTTTTTTTTATAAAAAAACTGTATATATAATACAAAAAATATGGCCAGGCACTTACTTATTCAGTACATCCCACCCACAACGGTTGGCAATTGCCTTCATAGCTTCCCTCCATTTTTTTACCATTTCCAAATCATCTCTAAAGCTTTCTTCGTATTCGGCAAAAGCTTTTTGAAACTCTCCACTTTGTTTTCGAACTTCAGAGGGAGTGACATCATAGAAAATAGGAAGAACACTTTGACCTGTTTCTTTAACCCAATCAACAATCATTGTCAACTCTTTCAAGCACCATGAGGATGATGCATAATTCTTTGAGAAGACAACAATGAAAAGACGTGATCGTTTGATTGCTTGCATGAGCTCAGGTTCCAAGAGTTGCCCTTTATTGATATTTTGGTTATCTCTGAAGGCAACAACACCTTTCCTTCGAAGAGCAGCAAAAAGATGATCAGTGAAATTATTACGAGTATCCTCACCTCTAAAGCTCACAAAAACATCAAAATTCATTGTGCGTGATGAAGAACCGCTGTTGTTGGTTATGCAAGCCATTGCAGAATTTGAAGATTGAAAACTCACTTGCTGAAGATAAAGTGTAATGTAATGAATAATAGACTCAAGGCAGTTGTGGGAGGACTAATCTTTTTATAATAAATGACAAAATGCGTAGAAAGTTTATGTAAATCACTCGAAGACGTGTTTTAAGGAGAACAAGAGTCATTGCGCGGAACCATATATTAATATAAATATTGATTAATAAATTGTTGTTGTAACTTTTCAATGAAGTTAAATTGAAATTCTTGCTGAGCCAAGAAACTATAACGCATTTTCTTCTCAGTTTCTCTTGTACCTGTCAACTGTAATTAATATTTTATTTTTGAAAAAACTAATAAAAAAAACAAAAAATAGCACGTATGTTGGAAAGAAATTGAAGAAGAAGGCGTCAACGGCATCAGCATGAGTATGATATATTGTCCTTCACCTTCATGGTAACTTCTAACCATGCCTGTTCCACGACCTATATTATATATATGCATACACCATAGAATAGAGCAAGTCTTTAAAATCGATTTCAATAATTGTAACCAAGTTGAATCGATATTTATTATATGTTGAAAATGCAAAATGGGAAACTTCCTAGAAACAACGCCTAAACATTAGGTAAAACTTTCTACAAGATGACAATGAATATATATGTGCACGTACAAAAATAAAATATGTAACGTATTATTGTCATATAAAATGTTTACTTACAAAATAATGATATTGTTTTCTTTATAAAAAAAAATATTTTTAATAATAATATAAGTTTGTTTGGTTCATTTACATCATATATTTTTTTGTCTGCCGGCACAAGATGGAAACATATCGTTGTCACATTCAAAGGCAATACATCAATACATTTCTGAGGATTTAATTAAAATCATCAAAACTAATATGATATGAACGTGCAATGTAATGTTAGAATTATTTTATTGTATTTGTTTGAGAGAATAAGATAATTAGGACTTTATTATTTTTACGAGGTTATTTTACTGACAACTTCATAATGACGTGTGATCTTATTTGTCTATTTTGAATATAAGCCCTCACAATTTTACTTTTAATTATCATTTTAAAGGTCTCTCAATTATTAGATTATATATGTGTTTTATAATTTTTTTTTTATCAATGTAAAACCTTATTTATATTCCAACATATAAAACTTAAATGAAATCAAGGGACTATCAGACCTAGGAAAAATGAAATTCATTATAGATCTACCACCTTTGTTGTCGACATCATGGATCTTTGATATTTAGCAAGTTCCTCACTGCTTCTGATACTCAAGTTTAAGTTAAGAGTGAAATAAAAATAAATTAAAAAAAGTAGAGTAGAAAAATGGTATTGAGATGAATAAAAAATCTCTACTTATTATTTAAATGATTAAAAAGATAAAGTACATATAAAAATATTTTAATATTAATTAAAATGTAATTGTTTAATCTATTTTTTAAAACTTAGAATTTTTTTTCTAAAAATATTTATATCATAAACATTAAAACAAGAAAAAGAGAAAAATCCTTTCTCTCGTATTCTATTACAAATTAAAAAAAAAAGTGGTTTTTTTTTTTTTTTGTATATCCTTGTTGAGCTTACTCGAAGGTTTGGGTTGACTCGAAGAGCAAACAACTCGAAAAGCACACTCATGAGGTATACTCATGAGGTTCAAGGAAAGCGTCAGACTTAAGTTATCTGGACTCGAGGTATACTCGAATCAAGGAACTAAGTCGAATCGAAAAGTGCTCGAAAAGGTAGGAGTTGCTGAAGTTACATACGGAGGAGTTACACAAGTCATACCCATGTCAACCATAATGGACAGCGGTTACATATAACACTCAAAATTAGATTTTAACCACTATCGAGCCAGTCTATAAATAAGAGAATCAACCTCATACGCAGGGTCGGAAAAACTCATACTTGAATAGAGCTCTGAAGCACTATCTGCCTGCGCATATGACTTTCGTGCATGGAATCGTGTTTGGATATGGTTGCTTCTGGACCAATTTTCTTTTTCCTTTCTAGATTAGGATTAGTTTAGTCTTAGTCGTTTCTCGTAGTCACCTGACTTTCATTCATGTAATCTGATAATGTCATAATGCTGGAAGATTATGAATCATGATTTGTCTAAGAATTATATCTGTTGTTCATTCTGTTTATTTAAGCGTCTACGTGCATGAACACTGTTTTGTGATAATCGTTGATGAATATCTGGAAATCAGTAATTATTGAAGTTAGTTACTCCATTCCCTATTCTTAAATCAAAAAGCCTAAATTGAAACGCTTTCGTGCTAGTCTAAATAAAAAGAATCCATAAAACGAATTCCACCGTAAACAATCCTAAAGAAATATTTTCCTTAAACTTTATTTCTATGCAAAGAATGGTTGTTATTCTTAATTTTCATGGCTCTCCGAAAGCACATTATTGACACAGTTCTTTTAAGTAGTCAACAGAAAAGAAGACAATTGTAATTCAATTATTCTACTACATACACGTCATTCATTCGAGTGTTCATATTATATATGAGTTGGATCGAAAACACTTCAAATAAGGAGTTGAAGACGTTCACCGCACTTTCTTTTGAGACATCTATGGAAACACCACACTCGCAGTTGCACATATCTTCATCATATCTTCACTTAGCCAACAAATTAGCAGAAAGAAGAAACAAAATCTCCTTTTTCATACCCAAACGAAGAAAGGCCAAGGTGAAACATTAGGACCTCTACCCACTTTTAATAAATTAAAAAAAAAACATATATAATATGACACCCTTAATAGTTTGCTATTACTCTTTTTTTTTATATGTAATCCAACAAAGTATAGTGATTATTTACTACCTATTTATATAATACTATATGATATTATTTTTTCAATATCGATATAAATAAATAGCAACAAATCAAAAAAAATTGACAATGAAACCTCACTTACTAAATTTTATGATCCTATTAATTATCAATTTTGATATTATTAAATTTTATAATATATTTTATAGTATTGTATAAATAGACAGTAAATAATCATTCTACACTTTGTTGGACTATACATAAAAGGGAGAGCAATCCAAGACTCGAGAGTGTCATTTTATATACATTCATTTTTCATCCTGATTACCATTCCCATTCCCCACGTTGATGGCCTCCTCCAGAGGCTGAGATCACTTTTGATGTTCCCCTTTCTTCAAGCTCAATTCTATATTGAGAAGGACTTTGAACTGCTTTTACTTAAGTTCAAACCCCACATTGTTTTCTTTGATTTGGCATCTTGGATATTAGGCATCAGGTCTTTCAGTATAATATCAAGAGCTTATGTTGAATCCATGGAGAAACAGTGTCAAGAAAATAACTTAGAGAGATGCTGAATTTTGATGCATGCATCAGATGCGTTCCAATTCAATCAAGCTTCATGAATGGGAGTTATATGTTTAATTCAATCCGACAAAATCCATTTGTAAAGTAAATTGCTCTCAATTTATATATTTTTTAATTATATTATTTTTAATTTGTGTAGAATTTAAATTTTTTTCAATATACTTTTTTACATCTAACACTATTGAATTTAATTCGTGAACAAATAGTAGTGATATTTGTTTCATGGGTTGAATCAGCACAAGTGCCACATTGTCAGATGTAGTCGGATTTAAAGATTGTAGAGAAATTGAGGGACAATGTGCTTACTTTTAGGGCTATCCTAGCATAGCCACCTACCTAACTCTCCACTTTGGAAGAAAAATGGGCTTAATGGCTTTCACGATTCAAGCCTGATTTAGTCATAAATGAATGGAGGCTACACTAGAATCAGTTCAAGGAGTTGTTGTTAGGTCTTGAGTTAACAGGTCTTCCGTTTCATGCAAGTACTTAAAGTGTTTAATTCACATATTATACATTTTATAGAAATTTGAGAGAATAGAGTGAATAGTATATTAGTTATGATGGATTTGAAATCTCTTTATTTTTGTGATTTTATTAGTCATGAATGACTAATTCACTTATTGTTAGGATTTGATGTTGTTGAATCTACTTATGTATTTCTTTCTATTCTTATTCAATTGAGTTTTTATTCAACTAATTGTTGGAGTTAAGTATGAATGATTGTACTTAAATATACAAAATTAGTTTGAATTTGTTAAGAATATGTAAGATAGGAATATTAAAGAAATAAAAAAAATATTATAATTCCACCATGAATTTTAAATAATATATTTTAATATAATAGTTAAAAAAAGGCAAAACATAATTCACATATACAAGAGATCATACATATATCTGACTCACACTTCACACTGGACAAGAGAGTGGATTGATGAGATGAGATGAGAGTGGATTAAAGCAGTGAAGTAATTAATAGGGGCTGAGGAAGTGAGAAAAATGCAAAGGAAAGACATCACAACATTTTTTTTCTCTCGCTTCCCTGAAAGTTATAACCAGGCTGACCTCTGGAAAGTGTTTCAACGATGGGGCAAGGTGTGGGACGTGTTTATTGCAGCAAGAAGAAACAGACATGGACAACGTTATGGATTTGTGAGATTCTTAGAGGTTGAGAATGTTAAAAGGCTGGAAAAACAACTGGATGAGATATATATTGGAGGAACCAAATTGTACGCCAACATCCCTCGATACAGAAGAAATGAAGACGTGATGGTAGAAAGCCAACATACAAAAAAACGAACAGAAGGTCAGTACAAAGGAGCAAAGGAGAATAAACAAAATCAAGAAGGATACTGGAGGGTGAGAGGGCAAGGACAAATGAATAGAAACCAGCAACAAGAGTCACACCGTCAGACATATGCACAAATTCTGAAAGGAAAACAAGTATGGAAACCAAAGTCACGGAAATGGAGGATAAAGACATATGAACATAAACAAGGATGGAATGGGATAAGTTTTACCATGCCGGAGGTGAACAGAGCATGGCTAGAAGGCAGCTGGATTGGCTATCTAAAAGATGTCACGATGTTCAACAAAATGAAAGAAGCCATGCTACTCAATGAACCAGAAGAAGTAAAATTGAGATATTTAGGTGATGACATGGTATTAATAACAGGATTGGAAGAGTGTAAAATGCAACAGAAGATCAAAGATGAAGAAGACATGTTTTCGACGTGGTTCCACTCAGTTCAAAAGTGGAATACAAATCTGCGACCAGGTAACAAATTAGTTTGGGTGAAGATTATAGGGATACCTTTACAAGTGTGGAATGATGAATGCTTTGCAAAGGCAGTGGCGGTATTGGGAGAGCATGTCGCAACAGCAAAAGAAACAAGTAGTTTTAGTAAACTGGATGCAGCAAAAGTGTTTATACGTACAGGATTAAATGAACATGTAAACTAGTGTAAGGATATAAGAATCAATGGACAAATTTGTCGAATCAGGATTATGGAAGATGTCGACAACCAACCATATCATTGTAGCTGCTGGAGATGGAAGCCAAGCACACCATGGGGATCAACATCGGAGAGTAACATTGGAATGGAGGTTAATTCTTCATGGTCTGAGTGTACTGAGAAGGACGACTGGTTGGATATAGTAGTGGAGAAGAATCAATCCAAGGGAAGAATCAAGAACACTGTCGAGATACGGTGGTCGGCGAAACACAAGATACAACATTTGCATATTCTAATGTCTCAACTATTATGTCTACTTTTTAAAAGACGATTGTTTGTTTTGCATTGTAATATTTGTTTTTTTTTTTTTTTACATATGTGTTGGGATTATTTTATGGTATTTGTTTGAGAGAATATTTTATAAGTGTTATTTTTATAAGGTTATTACACAAACATACTTCACAATGATTGTTTTATTTTATAAGATGTGAGACTTGTTTGTATCTCAACAATCCTCCCCTCAAACAAGGGACCTAACCTTTCATGCAGCGAAATTTGTCTTTATGAGAATTATTTTTATAAGATTATTACACAAACATACTTCACAATGGTGAGATATTGTCCACTTTGGACCTTAGCCCTCACAGTTTTACTTTTGATCATCACCCAAAAGGCCTCTCAATCATTAAAGTATGTTTTGTGTTATATAAGTTATTATTTTTTATCTTATTTTTATCAATGTGAAACTTGTTTGTATCCTACAATATGAAAGTCATAAATGGTTAAGTTTACTTTTTTAAGTTGTAAATTTGTACATTTTCTTTTGAAAATGCAATCTATGGAAGGTTGGTTTTTCACTTGCTACGTGATTATTCTAAGTATATTCTAAGCTATTAGAGACCTCATTTTCTGGTGCATACAGAGTCATTGTGTCTCAAAAAGTCAATTGCATTTAGAGGATAAAGCATAATGGGGAGACATGGAAGTTGGATGTGAAAATTGTGAATATGTGGACTAATGATAATAGTCCTAGACCAAATATGAAAGTAGTTTTCATGGATAAACATGTATGCATAATAATGTCTATATATTTCATTTGTGTCATTGGACTTTTTTTAATTGTGTTTTATTATAATATTTCTACCTAGTAGGGTGACAAAATTTTTGTTCAAGTGAAGCACATGGATGTAGAAAAGTGGAAAGATGTTCTCAAAGAGGATGCTATTTATGTGGTTTAGAATTTTGAGGTGGATAAAGATGGACCATATAAATCAACGTCTTATATGTATAGGTTGCATTTTGTCAAAGGTACAAAGATAAAAGATCAAGATTATTAGATATCCCTAAAAATGTTTATCATTTTGTTAAGTTTGAAGACATCAATAGTACGAAAGCTCATATGGATTTTCTCATAGGTATTTTATATATAATAAATTATGTTAAGTGTTTCAATTCATATATTCACTTAAATTATTTTTCGATTCATACAGATGTGATTAGTGAGTTGATAGAGGTGGTGCAATGGAGTTATGTAGGGAAAACAATAGTTGCTCTGAATATGAAAGATATCCAATAAACTTAAATCTGTTGAGTTTTTATTTTATTTTATTTCATTTTATTGATTAATGTGTTATATTTATTTAAGTGTTTATTTCTAATATTCCAATGGTAATATATATGGTCTTGTGTACTTCGTGGGAAAGTTATGCTCAACAATTGAGGGACTTTTTTGGACAAGCATGAATATGGTCTAGTTATTTTGCTAGTGACATTAGCAAAGGTCAAGCATCCTGAAGCTCTAATTACTTTTACTTCAATATCAAACACTGCAATTCTAACAATTTCTGGTGTCATAGACTGATTCAATGATTTGTTTGTTGAGGTTTTTAGGTGCCTTTAAGATTTCAATTCAGAATACCAAGTATGGATCAAAACTTTTCATAAATGACGATTTGGTGAGATTTAGGAATTCATAAAATAGATATTGTGTTTGTACTATTAAAAAATCAAATTGATATGTAAATAAAAAGATATTATGTTCGTAAGTAATTATTTTGAATTTGTTTGTAAAATATAAATTATTTTATTATGTACACTATGTTTACCATGTCATATTTTTATTTTATGTATACTTTAATGGTTTTTATAATTTAATAAAAAAGAAAGTATTGTGTATTG